CTTCTCTCTCCCTCTCTCTATATATATGTATCTAGATACTATAAGTTTCATAACACACGTGAATTCCCGTGAGTAGAATCTAGACCTGAGTGATTCCGTACTGGGGATTTTAAACAGTTTTTTACACATTATGTTTCAAAACTAGACGCAGAGAAGAGTTCGTGATTTTATTGTATCATCGACCAATGAAAATGCACATTTCAGATATTCTATAGGCTTACGCCACATCCGCCGACCCTTTTTTTTCCGCGTGGTCGTTATCACGGCTTCTTTGCAAGCTGCGGGAAAGATTCAGGTGGTGACCTTGAACTGTGTGCGGGTGCTGTTGGGCGGGCCGTCGCGCATGGGCCCCGTTTCGGGGGCCCTGTCGCGGGGGGTATCAGGCATGCACGGGGTGTTTGGGGGTTCTCTCCGAGGGTTCCGTGGTCGTCCTTGGGGCTTTTCGGGTGGTGGAGGCGGGGCAGTACGTTGCACGCCGGTGACATCTCAAGGGTGTCGGCGGATGCCGTCCGGGAGTACTGTGGATTATCATGGTCGGAGTCTTTCGGGTAGTGTGTTGTCGGGGGCATTCGTTGCCTTGGCTGGGCGCGGCTCGAGTGTGTCTTGTGATGTGAGGCGGTGCTTGGCCCGTTCTCATTGATCAAGGCACAGGCGCGAAATTGTTGGTGAACAATTTCGTTCCTTCTGCGACAGGGTTTCCCGTTCCGTTTTGGGCACGGTCTGTTTTGGGGGTCGGCGGCGCGGGGAGTGCTGATTCACGTCTCGCATGCGGTGAGCGCGCTGATCTCTTTCAGTAAGCGGTGTCCCAGAGCAGATGGGGCAGAGGGGGGGCAGGAGTCTGGCTTGGGCCGCATTCATGACAGTGTCAGACACGAATCGAAAACAATTCTTTACGCTTCGCGTATCCCCACCAGCCCACCTCACAACAGGAACTCTTGCGAAGCATGCCGACAGTTGTGTTTTTCAGGCGTGTGTCCGCTTTGCCCCGCATATCCCCCCTGTTCCTCCTTCCTCCCGCCTCGTTGTACATCCTCCTTGTGGGGGCAGCGGGGGAAGGGCGAGGCGGAGGAGGAGGGAGAGAAAACGCTCCTCGTGGTTTGAGTCGTTTGGGGTGTCTCCTCCTGGTGCGAGTCGTTCGGGCCTTTCTTCCTGGTGTGAGTCGTTCGGGCTCTTCGTGGTGTGAGTCGTTCGGGCTCTTCGTCCTGGTGTGAGTCGTTCGGGCTTCTTGTGGTGTGAGTTGTTCGGGCCCCTCGTCCTGGTGTGAGTCGTTCGGGCCCTGCCTCCTGGTGTGACTCGTTCGGGCTCCTCGTGGTGTGAGTCGTTCCGGGCCCTCGTCGCGGTGTGAGTCGTTCGGGCTCCTCGTGGTGTGAGTCGTTCGGGCGCTTCGTCCTGGTGTGAGTCGTTCGGGCCCCTCCTTCTGGTGTGCGTCGTTCGGGCTCTTCGTGGTGTGCGTCGTTCGGGCCCCTCGTCCTGGTGTGAGTCGTTCGGGCTCCTCGTGGGGCCTCTTGGGGGGCTCTTGGAGGCTCTTGGGGCTTCTTGGGGGCCTCTTGGGGGCCTCTTGGGGGCTTCTTGGGGGCCTCTTGGGGCCTCTTGGGGCCTCTTGGGGGCCTCTTGGGGGCTTCTTGGGGGACTCTTGGGGCCTCTTGGGGGCCCTCTGAAGCGCAAGGGAGCGCTGGCCCCTGAGAAAGAGAAAATGAGCCCTGTGTACGTCCCCGGGTAATTCTCCGGTCTGGGGACACGTCCGGAGGCATCTGCCGGTTCGAGCATGTCGATGTATAGCATGTCGTGTGCAGCTTCGACTGCCGTGTCACCCGCGGTGGACGCGCCAGGAGGCGTCCTACGCACTGGGGGCGTCCAACGCGCTGGAGGCGTCCTACGCACTGGAGGCGTCCAACGCGCTGGAACTAGCCTGCTGCCTGGCGGCACCCACCGCCGCTTCACCAGAGGAGCGTTCGTTGTAGAAACCGTGAGAATGAGGGTGATGACGAAGAGGCTGGTGATGATGATAATGATGGCAAGCATGACGGTGAGTATGGGAATGAGCACGATGAGGTTGGTGAAGACGCTGATGATGGTGATTACGGTGGCGGTGACGATGATAACGATGATGGCGATGACGACGCGAATTTCGATTATGGTGCGGTCGTGATGCTGAGGGCGATGGGCAGTGATGTTGTTTGTTTTGATGATGATACTGGTGATGAGATCAGGGCGATGATGATTGCGACGCTTGTGGTGATGATGATGATGAAGATGATGTGATGATGATGCTGATGATGGTGATGGCGACGATGATGTTGTTGATGAATCTTCAATACCGTGCGGTCCATCCCGCCTTGGTGCCCGGGCTGTGTGTGAACTGTTTCTGTAATGCTGGTTGGGGTATCGTGGGAAGCCTCTGGGGCTCTTCTTTGAACCAGTTGTCAGACATCTTCGGGGCTCTTTGGGACCTTTTTCGCCGAGGAGGTCTTTTTCCCCAAACAGCTTGCTGAACGGGGTGCTGTTGTGATAGAAGCTAATTCCGGCCGAGGGTAAGCTAAGCAGAGACATCCTCAAACAAATGTGGTGGTCCGGCCCGTTTCGCCTGAGACATCCTCACAACTCTCGTTTCTGAGTTGTCCGGGATTGAGCGTTTCGCCTGAGACATCCTCCTAAATCTGAGCTCTGAGAGGCCGCGCGAGAGGTGGTCCGGGCCGTTTCGCTTGAGACATCCTCGAAACTCTGAGCTCCCAGATGCCGCGCGAGAGGTGGTCCGGGCCGTTTCGCCTGAGACATCCTCGCAACTCTGAGCTCCAAGATGCCGCGCGCGAGGTGGTCCGGCCCGTTTCGCCTGAGACATCCTCGAAACTCTGATCTCCCCGATGCCGCGCGCGAGGTGGTCCGGCCCGTTTCGCCTGAGACATCCTCGAACTTCTGAGCTCTGAGATGCCCTGCGCGAGGTGGTCCGGCCCGTCTCGCCTGAGAAATCCTTGCAACTCTGAGATCTGAGATGCCGTGCGCAAGGTGGTCCGGCCTGTTTCGCACAAGATATTCTCGCAACTCTGAGCTCTCAGATGCTGCGCAAGAGGTGGTCCAGCCTGGGGGCCCAGAAGGCCACATGTTACATATCCTCCATGGGACCCTGCGAGCCTCAGGAGGCCCCAGAGAGGTCCAGGAGGCCGCAGGACGCCCAGGACAGGCCCCAGGGGCCCCCAGGAGATTCCCAGGAGGCCCCAGGAGGCCCTCTATCAGAACGTGTCAAGTTAATACACATCCGGTGTCGATTCGTTGATTTTTCCTGCTCTTGTGCCCCCCCCTCCATTTGGAGAGGCCCAAGCGGCCACAGGTTAGATATCCCCCCTGGGAGCCCCAAGATGCTTCAGGAAACCTCAGGTGGAGTTCAGGAGGCCACAGGAGGCCCAGGAGGAAGCTCCAGGAGGTCCCCAGGAGGCCCAGGAGGCACCAGGAGGCCGCAGGACGCCCAGGACAGGCCCCAGGGGTCTCCAGGAGATTCCCAGGAGGCTCCCAGGAGGCCCCAGGAGGCCGCTTATCAGAACGTGTCAAGTTAATACACATCCGGTGTCGATTCGTTGATTTTTCCTGCTCTTGTGCCCCCCCCCCCTCCATTTGGAGAGGCCCAAACGGCCACAGGTTAGATATCCCCCCTGGGAGCCCCAAGAGGCTTCAGGAAACCCCAGGTGGAGTTCACGAGGCCACAGGAGGCCCAGGAGGAAGCTCCAGGAGGTCCCCAGGAGGCCCCAGGAGGCACCAGGAGGCCCCCGCAACTCGGAGCTCTGAGACGCCGCGCTCGAGGTGGTCCAGCCCGTTTCGCCTGAGACTTCCTCGCAGCACGTTTCGCCCGAGACATCGTCGCAACTCTGGGGTCCGAGATGCCGCGCGCGAGGTGGTCCAGCCCGTTACGCTGGAGACATCCTCGCAACTCTAGGCTCCGAAATGCCGTTCGCGATGAAGAGGAGGTGGAGGAGGAGGAGGAGGAGGAGGAGGAGGAGGAGGAGGAGATGGAAGGGAGAAGGAGGAGGCGGATGATGTGCATGAGGGAGCAGGCAGGAGGAGGGGGAGGTCCCAGAGAGCTTCAGGAGGCCGCAGGACGCCCAGGACAGGCCCCAGGGGTCCGCAGGAGATTCCCAGGAGGCCCCCAGGAGGCCCCAGGAGGCCCTCTATCAGAACGTGTCAAGTTAATACACATCCGGTGTCGATTCGTTCATTTTTTCCTGCTCCTGTGGCCCCCCTTGTATTTGGAGAGGCCCAAACGGCCACAGGTTAGATATCCCCCCTGGGGGCCCCAAGATGCTTCAGGAAACCTCAGGTGGAGTTCAGGGGGCCACAGGAGGCCCGGGAGGAAGCCCCAGGAGGTCCCCAGGAGGCCCCAGGAGGCACCAGGAGGCCCCCGCAACTCGGAGCTCTGAGACGCCGCGCTCGAGGTGGTCCGGCCCGTTTCGCCTGAGACTTCCTCGCAGCGCGTTTCGCCCGAGACATCGTCGCAATTCTGGGGTCCGAAATGCCGCGCGCGAGGTGGTCCAGCTCGTTGCGCTGGAGACATCCTCGCAACTCTGGGTTCCGAGATGCCTTTCGGGATGAAGAGGAGGTGGACGAGGAGGACGAGGAGGAGGAGGAGGCATGTTTTAACGTGCCATGCCAGCCCGCACTAGGCGGGCACGCAATCGACCTTGGAAACCGCAGTGGGTCTAAAAACCCTGTTTGGGGATACTGCACTCCGGCTATATTTTTTCTCGAGTTTTTGAAAGTTTGGGGCCTTTTTGAACCCTGTGGAGGCTTCGTGGTGACCTCTTCGAGTCATTTCGGGTCTGTCGGGGGCCTTGGCGGCAGTTTCGGGCGGAACGGTCCGATTGTTGGTTCGTGTTTCCTTGTGGGGCTTGTCTTGAGGCCATCACTGGGCTTTTGTGGGTTGTCTGGTCTCTGGTCTCTGGTCTGTGGGGCGGGGGGGTCGACTTCTCCCGAGGCCTTCTTGGGCCAGCGATGGTGGTCGATAGGATGTTGCAATGTTCAACAACTCGCATTCCCTTGGATTGGACGACATCGCACGTCGTGCATATGGGCACGGTGTTGGATACCACGCTGTCTTGATCTGGAGCGACGGGTCTGCCGTGGCGTGCGGCACTCGGTCGCGGACCTCACCTATACACAGGTTGCTGCTGGATTTACCCACACCGTTCTGCTCAGGAGTGACGGCCCCGCCGTGGCACGCGGCGACAATGCGACGTGTCAGTGCGACCTCCCTGCGCTGCATGCAGGCCTCACCTACGCGCAGGTTGCCGCTGGATCATGGCACAGCGTTTTGCTCAGGAGCGACGGTTCCGCCGTGACCTGTGGCCTGAATGAACCTTGTCAGTGCGACCTCCCGGCGTTGCCCGAGGGCGTTGCGTACACGCAGTTTTTTTTTTTTTTTTTTTTTTTTTTTTTTTTTTTTTTTTTTTTTTTTTTTTTTTTTTTTTTTTTTTTTTTTTTTTTTTTTTTCTTCCCCCCTCCCCCCCCCCCCGTGCTGCTCAGGAGCGACGGCTTCGCCGTGGCCTGTGGCAACAATGTTTTCGGTCAGTGCGATTTGCCCGTGCTGGTCTCGGGCCTCACTTACATGCAGGTTGCCGCCGGATCCTACCGCGCCATCCTGCTCAGGTGCGACGGCACCGCCGTGGCATGCGGCTGCAATGAAGAGGGCCAATGCGACCCCCCGGCATTGATCGCGGACCTCATCTACGCACAGATCGCCGCTGGCTTATCGAGCTGCCTGCGGCAGACCACGCCATCAGGCAAGCGCGCCAGCGCAGCAGGAAGGGGCCTCCCTTTCAGGAGCGGGGAGAAGGATGATAAATTAGAGGACGTGGAGGAAGAGTGAGAGAAGGAGCAGGAGGAGGAAGGAAGAGCAGGAGGTGGAGGAGGAGGCGGAGCAAAAGGACCAGAGGTGTCATGGATGCCTCTCGGAGCTTCTTGGGATATAGCTGGGGCGCTTCTTGGAGGCCTCTCCGGTCGTCTTGGGGGTCTCTGGGCGGTCGTGGGGGGCTATTGGGCGTCTTGGTGTTCGGGGGGGCTTCCAAGGACCGCTTCGGCCTCTCGGAGGCATCTGGGAGCTTCTTAGAGGCTTCAGAGGGCCATCTTCGGGGGTTCTTTTGGGGCTTCCTGGGGTCTCCTGGGCGCCAGTGGGGCCCATCTTGGATGAAATCGATTTAAAAAAGAGGGGAGTTTTAAGGGGCCCTGCCCTTCTGTGGCCCCTATAATCTTCTCATGGACTCCTCCGGGGCCACTCTTGGGGCGCTCCTGGGCGTTCTTGGGGCCGTCGTGGGCTTTTCTTGGGCCTGTCTTGGGGCCATCTTGAGGCCTCTTGGAGCGTGAATGCGAGAGGGAGCAAATCATCCGTTGTGTCTAGGTGTTTGTTGGCCTCTTCGAGGCTTCCTTGGACGTCTCGGAGGCCTCTTGGCATCGTCTTGGAGCGTTATTGGGGCCTCTGGCGCTATCTGGAGCCATCTTGGAGCTCATCTTGGGCTCCCCGAGGCACTTTTGGAGCCGTCTTGGACGAAAAGGTACCGTTTGACACCTCGCGGCTCCTCCCGTCCAGGGCTAGGGGAGAGGGTAAGGGGCACGGGGGAACTTCTCCACGAAGGGGAGAAGGGAGAGTTCGCAGAGGACACGCCTTAAATCGCCTACGCCCAGAGGGCTGGTGGGCTTTAGATGGTTGTATTCGTTTGGCTTCTGGCAGTCCTCTTGGGTGTCCTCTTGGAGGGATTCTTTTAGCCTGATGGGCTGCGTTGTTGCTGTCTTGGGCCAGTCGTAGTTCGGGCGTGCGCCGAGGGGAGCCGGCCCGTGAAAACAACCGACAGTGTAGCATAAGCAGACAGCAGGACAGCACTATTACGCTCCAGTGCGCAGCTGGCACGGTGGCGGATACCACGCCGTCCTCATCAGGAGCGACGGCTCCGCCGTTGCGTGTGGCAGTAGTGAAGATTGTCAATGCGACCTTCCCGCGCTGAATGCGGGCCTGACCTACTCGCAAGCTTTCGCTGTTTTTTTCCACGCCGTGCTGCTCAGGAGCGACGGCATCGCCGCGACATGTGGCCCGAATGACATCGGCCAGTGCGATCTCCCAGCGTTGATCGGTGGCCTGACTCATACGCAGGTTGCCATAGGGATGTACCGCACTGTCCTGCTCAGGAGCGACGGCGCAGCTGTGGCCTGTGGCAATAATAGTTTCGGTCAGTGCGACTGCTCTGCGTTGGTCGAGGGCTTGGTTTATACATTGGCCTTCGGCTCATCTCGCCTTTATTGTTGACGAGTGGGTGAGTGGTATCTTTGCACGAGGTTTCCTCGGCGGCTTTCCCCATTCACAGTTCCCTGGAGCTTCCCGGGCCCGTCTGGACTTGCAGGAGGCGTGTGTTCGGCCTCAAGGGGCGGCCTGGGGCATCTGGGGGACGCGACGGTTCAGTACAAAGACGTGTCCGGAACTTTTGAAACGTAGCTTTCTAAGGGCCTTTGTTGCCCAGAAGCTGGCCCATGGGAAGACGGACGCCGGTCCAAATCGGCCAGGCGGAATTCGGCTAGGTCGAACTCGGCCAGCCGAGTTCGAACTGGCCGAGTTTCGCCGGCCGAGTTCGGTCGGCCGAGTTTGGCCGGCCGAGTTTCGCCTGGCCGAGTCCGGCCTGGCCGAGCTCGGCCCCCTACTCATACTCCATATCCTTATTCCTTATTAGAATATACTCCTACTCCCCCCTCAGGCCGGCCGATAGGGGCCGCATCCGGGTGGTCCCATCCTAACATGTAAAACACAATGCAAAATCAACATTTTTCTTATTTTTTCCTCTCGACATGGACGTCCTGTCGTCCACGGCGATAATCCATTGCAAAAAATACCACAAAGAGCACGCGCGCGCGTTCATGTCAGAATCCTACCGAACACCGTGTGTTTGCAAGCATTTCAACATAAAAACATCAAAAACCCAATGCTTTTTCACAAAAATTGTACAAATTTCCCGCCCGGGCTCTCTTGCTGAAATCATAGGAAAACCATAGGAATCTTAAGAATTCTGTCAAATCCAGCGATTTCACGTCATCGCGCGGTGCACTCGCGATGCTCTGTCATGCACCCAGGCCGCGAATCCTGTGCAAAAAATACCACAAAGAGCACACTCGCGCGTTCATGTCAGAATCCTACCGAACACCGTGTGTTTGCAAGCATTTCAACATAAAAACATCAAAAACCCAATGCTTTTTCACAAAAATGCTTTGGGGTGTCCTGTCAGACCGTCGGGCTTCCTCCGGCCACCTCTGGCTTCCTGCGGTGTACCGGGCCATTCTCGACTCGTCTGGCAATGCGTGCGCGGCATTCAACACGCGCTCGCCAGTTCCCGTCGGCAACCGCCATCGCGGCCGCATCAGCTGTACCAAACCGGCTGGCCGGTGTGACTTCGGCCCCCAGTTGTGCCAGCTTTGCTTCTTATGTTGTGGGAGGGCGGGTGGGACTGGGCATGCCATGCTTGACTCGCTCGAGCTGGCTAGCTTGACTCCCTACTCCTACTCCTTCTCCATCCTACTCCTACACCCCAATACTCCTTACTCTACTCCCACTGCTATCCCTATTCCCCCGCTTTTTGCTCATAGCAGTTGTGCCCGCTTTGCTTCTTTCGCAGGTTCGCCGAACCCGTCAGAGTTGCGCGGATGGTTCAGGTGGCAGTGGCCTGACCGCCCCACCTGAGGGCATCTCGGAACCCAGAGTTGCGAGGATGTCTCAAGCGAGTTTGCCCTCACCACAAATCGGCGGGGCATCTCCGAGAGCAGGGTTGTGAGGATGTCTATGGCGAAAGTGGTCCGGTCACTTCTGCTCAAGTCGTCCCGGAAAACCCTGGGCCAGGGCATCCCGCATCTAGGAACCTGGAGTGGCGGGGCACGGCACCTACAGCACCTGGAGCACCTACAGCAACTAAAGCACCTACAGCACCCACGGCAGCCATAGCACCTGCAGCACCTACGACACCTACGGCACACACGGCACCTACAGCACCTACAGCACCTACAGCACCCACGGCACCTACAACACCTACAGCACCTGCAGCACCCACGACGCCTACAGCACCTGCCGCACAGCATGTACAAGACCCACGGCACCAACAGCATCACAGCATCTACAGCACCTACAGCACAAACGAAACCTATATCACCGACATCATCTGCAGAACCCAGGGCAGCCACATCACCTGAAGCACCTACGGCAGCCACGGCACCTACAGCACCTACAGCACCCACAGCACCCACGGCACCCACAGCACCTACATTACCTACAACACCGACAGCACCCACAAGACCTCCCTATACAGCACATACAGGACCTACAGCAGCCACGGCACCTACAGCACCCACAGCACCGACGGCACCCACAGCACCTAGAGCATCCACAGCACCCACAGCACCCACAGCACCTACAGCACATACAGCACCCACAGCAACCACGGCACCTGCATACAGGACCCAACGCACCTATAGCACCCATGACACCTACAGCACTTAGGGCTCTTACGGCACTTACATCACCTACAGCACCTGCAGCACCCACGGCACCTACAGCACATACAGCACGGCCTACATCACCTACTGCACCCACGGCACCCGCAGCGCCTACAGCAGCCACGGCACCTACTGCTCCCACACCCACAGCACCTACGACACCTACAGCACCTGAAGCACCTACAGCACCCACGACACCCACAGCCAACGACACCCACGACTCCGACAGAACCTACAACACCTACATCACCCACAGCACCCACGGCACCCACGGCACCCACAACACATTCAGCACCTACAGCACCTACCTGCAGCACCCCCTACAGCACGCACATCACCTACAGCACCCACGGCACCCACATCACCTACAGCACCCACAGCACCCACGGCACCTACAGCACCCACAACACATACAGCACCCACAGCATCCACAACACCCGTATCACCTACAGCACCGTCAGCACCTACAGCACCCACGGCACCTACCGCACCCACAGCACCCACAACACCTACATAACTTACAGCACCCACAGCACCCACAGCACGTACAGCACCTACAGCACCTACAGCACCCACAGCAACTGCATTCCACCTACAGCACCCGCAGCACCTGTAGCACCTACAGCACATACAGCAACCACGACACCCACAACATCTCCAGTACTTACAAGACTCCTACAGCACTCACGGCCCCTACAGCACATACAGCAGCTACAACACCCACGGCACCAACAGCCCCTAGAGCACGTTCAGCACCTACCGCACTTACAGCACATACAGCTATTGCAGCACCCACATCAACTACAGCGCTTGCAGCACACACAGCAACTGCAGCACCCAGAACACACACTGCACCAACATCACCTACAGCACCTACAGCACCTACGGCACATACAGCACCCACGGCACCCACAGCACCTACCGCACCTACAGCACCCGCGGCGCTTACTGCATTTTCACTAACCACAGCACTTGCAGCACCCACTGCACCCACAGCACGTAACTCACCTGCAGCACCTACAGTAGCTTCCGCACCTGCGGGACCTACAGCCAAGCACCTACAGCAAACACATCACCCACAGCACCTGCAGTACCCACCTACAACACCTACCGCGCCTACAGCATCCAGGGCGCCCACAGGCCCTGCAACACCCACAGCACCCACAGCACCCGTATCACCTAAAGCACCGACAGCACCCACAAAACCCACAGCACACACAGCACCCACTGCACCTACAGCAACCACAGCATCGACAGCACCCACAGCACCTACAGCACCTACATAACTTCCAACACCTCTAGCATCTCCAGCACCTCCAGCACATACAGCACCCACAGCACCCACAGCACCCATAGCATCTACATCACCTATAGCACCCACAGCACCTACAGCACCTACATCAACTACAGCGCCCACATTACATACAGCACCTAAAGCGCCTACAGCACCCACGGCACCTACAGTATCTGCAGCACCAACAACACCCATGGCACCCACAGCACTTACAGCACCCACATCACCCACAGCCCTTACAGCACGTGCATTACCTACATCACGTACACCACTTACAGCACCAGTAGCACCCGCAACACCTACAGCACTCACAGCACCTACAGCACCCACAACACCTACAGCACCCACAGCACCTACAGCACTTGCAGCACCTACAGCACCCACAGCCCTACAGCGTCTACAGCACCCACAGCACCCTGGCCGAGTTCAGCCTGGCCGAGTTCGACCGGCCGAGTTGGGCCGGGCCGAGTCGGACCTCTTCCGAACAGGCATGGGAGAGTAGATGAGGAGGAGGAGGAGGAGGAGGAGGAGGAGGAGCAGGAGCAGGAGGAGGAAGAATAAGAGGAGGATGGGGGAGGAGGAGGACCAGATGAAGAGGGCGAGGGAGAGAAATATCCATGGTTGTCGAGGGCTCACAATAACACAGTGTTGGGGGGATATGCAAGCCTTGAAAGTCGCGGCTCGGGCCATGACAGCGGATAGGGACGATGCATCAACAATGTTTCATGGAGTCGAGCCGTCTATCGATGGCATGCCGACCAGCCTCCACTGCGTGCTCACGCTATATGGCGGCGCTGGCGACTCTTGCGAGTCGGGTGAGCTTACGTCCGAACAAGTTGAGAAGGCGCCTGCCCAAGCAGTGGCCGACGCGATGATAGCGCGAGGTTTCTGGGGACCAGCGCCTGTCTGCGAGAAGTGTGGGGCGGTGAAAGGCGCGGTAGCCGATAAGAATCGCATTCGGTGGCAATGCGGGGGCGTTGCTGCCAATGCGGGCGTGGATGGTGCACAGACGGAGAGGTGCAAGTCGGGTCGTCCATTTGTGTTGTTGGGTAGCCCTTGGTATGACCCCTCGGGCCGAGGTGCCGCAGCACGGATAGTGGCTGTCATTGTTTTGGCTTCGCTGGAGGGGCTGGACCTAGGAGCCATCGCACGGGGGGCTGGCGTGGGTGAGCAAGTGGTCACACGGGTGCAGGCTTGCATGCCCGCGGCGACGAGCGTGGCTCCTGCCTCTTCCAGCGCCGATGTAAAGAGAAGGAGGACGGATATCGGAGACGACGAGGGCGTGAGTGCTAAACATTGGCACCGACCAGTGGCTTGGAAGAGACTGGGCGAGGAGCTGGCTCGGTTATGGGACGTCGATTGTCAGGCGGCCGTGACAACGGCTGCACGTTGTTACGTTGTCGTTCGCACGGGCTTGGGCATGGCGAAGGAAAGCGGCCACGACTTCGATGTCGACGCCCTGTCGGCCGGCACCTGGGTGTCGCAAGAGACGCTGCGGAAGTTCATGGCGGCGACGAACGACCGGAAGCAGTATCGTTGCTCCACGCACGAGGTGAGCTTGCCTGTGTCCTTCCTGACGGCGTGCCAGATGCTGAACCTCCACGAGGTCTTCAGCGCACATGATCCTGTCCAGATTCGCGTGCGGGGGTGTATCGCGCAGTGCCGTGGGTTGGCGACGGACGATAGGAGCAGCGTGCAATACTGGCGCTCCGTCCTGCGGGCCGTGATTATCATCCACGCTACACGCCGGTACGAATACGCACCGTGTGTGGTGGGAAACAGTTTGGCGACAGTGCAGGAGGTTTTGGATTGTTTCGTCGGGTCGAGCCGAGTAGAATTGGAAATGAGGCGGCGGCCGACGAGCGAAGGGGGGTTTTTCTGCGGCTCGAGGTCCGTCGTGCTGGGTGTGTTGAATAGGAGCAACGTGTTGGACACATTCGACGGCGGGGACTACTGTCAGGATTTCGAAGAGATGGTCGCTTTCGTGCAGCGCTCTGCGGCGGGGGCGAGCTCCGGTCGCGTGGACGCGCCGGTGCTGGACTATTGCTGGGACAGGGTGAAGAACTGGCGTGGCTTCGGCGGCGCGGGCAACGAGCCCGGAGGCAACGTGGACGGCTTCGTTGCCAAAAACGTTGCGTTTCAAGGTGTCCGGAATATTCTTCACCATTGCGGGTTTGAGCATGGGGCCCCGAAGGCGTTCGTGTTGGGGCCCAATCCATGCAAGTTGGCGTGCGTGCATTGGCAGACGCCGTCCCCGTCGCGGGAACAGCAGGTCGCCATGTATTCTGCCGTGCTGGAAGGCGTCGATGACTGCGTCGTCGCGTATGGCGCGGTCTGGCGGAGGCTTCATTCGGTCGACGCAGTTGTGCTGCAAGACAATCTGTGCAAGGCCGTGGAAGTGCTGCAGACAGTCACTACCGGTCGCTTCTTCGGGAAAGCCCGTAAGTCGTCTTTGGCGCGGTTTGGCGTCGCCGTGGCGCCCGAGCGGGCTTTGTCTTCGCCGGAATGCTCTGGCGACGAAGAGCCTGGTTGAGATGCGTTGCGCCATCCCGCAATATGTCAGACATTGGACATGTCGCGCGGCGGGTGGCGCGCTTGCATGCCCGGGGGGTCCAATATCAAAAAACCGTTCTTCCTCAGGGGTGATCCTGGCGGCGCAGTAGGAGAGGCGGCGCTTCGCGGCCCGATGGTCCTTCGGGGCGAGGGGCCCAACTTGGTAGCGTCGGAACTCTTACACGTATAAATACGCGTGCGGAGTGGTTGCGTCGGATCTTACGCGTAAAAATACGCGCGCGGAGGGGGGGGGGGCGGGCGAGGAACCCAACTTGGTAGCGTCGGAACTCTTACACGACAAAATACGTGTGCGGAGGGGGGGCGAGGTACCCAACTTGGTAGCGTCGGAACTCGTACACGTAAAAATACGTTTGCGGATGGGGGCGAGGGGCCCAACTTGGTAGCGTTGGAACTCTTACTTGGAAAAATACGTGGGCGGAGGGGGGGGGCGAAGGGCCCAACTTGGTTTACACGTAAAATATGTGTGCGAGGGGGGGGGGGGGCTCACTTGGTAGCGTCGACTCTTCCACGTAACAATAACGTTGTGGCGAGGTTGGCGAGGGACCAAAACTTGGTAGCGTCGGAACTCTTACACACAAATACGTGTGCGGTGGGGGGGGGGCGAGGGACCCAACTTTTTAGCGTGTGTGCGTGCGCCACGTGAAAATACGTGTGCGGAGGGGGGGCGAGGGGCCCAACTTGGTAGCGTCGGAACTCGTACACTTGAAAATACGTGCGCGGAGGGGGGGGGCTCAACTTGGTAGCGTCGGAACTCGTACACGTAAAAATATGTTGCGGATGGGGGCGAGGGACCCAATTTGGCAGCGTTGGAACTCTTACCTGGAAAAATACGTGGGCGGAGGGGGGGGGCGAGGGGCCCAACTTGGTAGCGTCGGAACACTTACGCGTAAAAAATATGTGCGCGGAGGGGGGGGAGTCAACTTGATAGCGTCGGAACCCTTACACGTAAGAATACGTGTGCGGAGGGGGAGCGAGGGGCCCAACTTGGTAGCGTCGGAACTCTTTCACGTAAAAATACGTGTGCGGTGGGGGGGCGAGGGGCCCAACTGGGTAGCGTCGGAGCTCATGCACGTGAAAATGCGTGTGTGGAGGGGGGGCGAGGGATCCAACTTGGTAGCGTCGGAACTCTTACACGTGAAACTACGTGTGCGGAGGGGGGGGGCTGCAACCTGAGTCTCGGTTGCCGCTCGCCTCTCGGTCCTCGGCGGGGCGTGGCGCTGTAGCGGGGCGCCCCTCTGCCCGCGCGGGGCAGATGCCTTCGCCTCCTCCGGGGGGGGGCGGGGGAGGGGCAGCAGGGGGAAGGGGGGGGGGAGAGGAGGAGGAATGAGGACGGGCATTGAGGGGGAGGTGGGGAGTGAGGTGGGGGTGGGAGAGGGAAGCAGGAAGGAAAAAGAGACGGAACGAGAAAAAAAGAAAAGAAAAAAGAGAGAAAAGAAGGTAAGGGGAAGGGAAAAGGAAGAAAAAAAGGGAAAAGAGAAGGAGGAGGGGAAGCAGGGGAGAGGAGGAAGGAGGAGGGGAGGAGTATACTATCGAAGGAGGGGAGGAGGAGGAGGCAGGGGAGGAGGAGGGAGGCGAAGGGGGATGAGTGAGATAATGGGGGGAGGAGGAGGGGGAGGGTGATATAGGAGGAGGGACGGGAGGAGTAGGAGGAGGCAGGAGGATGAGGAGGGGGAAAATCAATCATAAGACAGAAGAGAAGAATAAGAATATAGAATAGAATCAAGATGGACGGAAGAGAAACAACGAATGAAGGAATGAGGAAGGACGATAATGACTACAAGAACAGAGGAAATGATGGATTCGAGGCCATCAGAGCTGAGCCACTGGCTGCGAGGAGGCGAGTGCAGGTAGGCAGCTGCGTCCACCTGAGCGCGGTCACTGCAGCGTACTCTCGCATGCCTCAAGCTTAGGATGGCTCAGCTGCAGACTGCGTATTTTAGCACGAGAACAAGTGGCTAGGTATAGACCTGGCAGCGGTCGAGCAGGGAGGAAGAGCAAGGGCCTCCTCGGCAGGAGGATAAGCAGGACGTGCAGGCGGTAGCGGCTGCGCAGAAGCAAATAGAAAGTGCCGCGCGCGTGTCAGACGAAAGTTGGGCTTCGTTCCTTACCGAGTTCGTGGATCCCTCAAGTTTCTTGTGGGGGCGTGGCGGGGGGGAGTGTTGCACCTTGCACGGCGCTCGCACCTAAAGCCCCGGAGTTTCGTTGAAGCCTCGGGAGTGTTCGGGGGCAGGGTGCAGCCCCTTCATGCCGCGCGCAGTAAGTTGGCCAATACTTGGATCCATCGTGGGCCAGGTGGAATCATCTTTGAGGCTTGTTTGAACTTGCAGGCTCGCGGGTGGGGTTCAAGATCTTCGGACCCGCAGATCCGCTTATGAAATGCATTCTTTCCTGTCGGGTCCATGCGCGTGGATCCTCTCTACCTCTCTGCTCTCCTTCCTCGCGCGTCGGAATCACACACTTGCACAAGGGAACAATACTAGTAATACTGGCACTCAATACATTTACATAGCACGTGGACTCCCTGCGGCGTCCAGGTCCAGCGACGAAGCCTTACACAATCATTCGCGGGCACGTGCCCTTCGTCTTCCTCGCCCCCCCCCGAGGAGGGCGAAGGCATCTCGACATCATCGCGAGGACTGCCGGAGGTTTGTAAACACGCGTCGGGCTACACGTCTATCATAGGACTCCGCATATATCGCTGTTTGAAAATGCAGCCTTTGAAAATGTGAGAGCCATGCGCGATGGTATGGGTTACATCTTCCATGCGATGACATGCGCCTGACGGCCCTTGAGTTACGTGGCGACCTCGGGAGTGGTGCGGGCAAAGGGTGTGGGTGGTTTCATGCCAAAAAAAAAAGAAAAAAAAGAAGAAAGAAAAAAAAAAAACCTTGAAGCAAGTTGGGAGCTAATTGAAGTCATCTTCGGCCATCTGGAACCATGTGGGAGGCAATCTTCGATCTTGCGTGCCGGTTAAACAATCTCTGGACCCGCAGATCCGCTTATGAAATGCATTCTTTCCTGTCGGGTCCATGCGCGTGGATCCTTGCAACTTGCTCTTTGCTCGCGCTTCCGCCTGTCGAGCTTGCAAGGGCAGTGTGGATCGGCTCAGGCTTTTCGGTGCCTGGCGGACGGTCACTGGAGCCATCTTCGGCCAGCTGGAATCATCACTCGGGGTTTCTTGAAACATTCAGGAACACGGGTCGGGTAAACAATTTCTGGACCCGCATATTCGCTGTTGAAATGCATCCTTTCATGTGGAGCCATGCGCGTGGGTTGGTTCATCTTCCGCGATGCATGCGCCGACGGCCCTTGAATTAACGTGGCGCCTCGGGAGTGCGCGGGCAAAGGGTGGTGTGGTTTCAGGCCCCTTGAAGCAAGTTGGGAGTTAATTGAAGTCATCTTCGGCCATCTGGAACCATGTGGGAGGCAATCCTCGATCTTGCGTGCCGGTTAAACAATCTCTGGGCCCGCAGATTCGCTCATGAAAGGTAAATTTAGGGATTTTCCCAGGGGGGGGGAGGAGTGAGAGAGGTGGGAGAAAGAGATGGGTGGGAGCTCGACCACAAGCAACCTTCCGCGTTCTCTTCGCCGACGTCGCAAATGCAACGCCGACGTCGTCAGTGCATCGCCGATGTATCAGCGATGCGGCGAGATCCTCTGATCTTCTCTGTCCGGGCCCCATCTGGGAGGACTCTGAAGACGACTCGCGCGAATTGCTCTCTGGACTGATTATGCCGACGGCCTCTTGTGTCGGGCGCCTCCAGGACGAGGGCCGTTGTTATAGCAGCCACAGTTTGAGCAGCCCTCGCCCAGCTGTCGAGCCTACTGCACCGAGTGCTCGCGTGGCCCCTTGTTCCCAGGGATCCGATCCTCTCCCTGGTGTTCCGAGGGGCCCGTGCCTCTCGAGCGGGGGCCTCTCATTGCCTCGGGCATGGGTCGGGGGCGGCAGAGGGGGGTGATGACTGGGGGGGTGGATTGCGGTGCATCTTCGGGGGACTTCGCCTTTCCCTCAATTTGTTTTTTTTTTGTACCCGACTTGGGCTCGATGCGGGCTCGGCGCGGATTTGGCGTGAATCCGACGCGGATTGGACGCGGTTTGGACGCGGATCCGACGAGTCCGAGACGGATTCGACACGGATTCGACGCGGATAGGGCCGCGACGGGACAGACAAGGTCCCCCGAGGCTGCAAAAGAAGGTGGGTATCATGGCGGGGGCCATGTTTTTTCCCCAGGTCTTGTGGCGCCTCTCTTGTTTCATTACGTCCCCGGCCCCCCCGCTGGGCCGCGCACGCGCCGCCGGCCATGATTTGCACCCCCCCCTCTTGGACGCCCCCCTCTTGGCAGCCCCCGAATGGAGGGGGGGGGGGAGGGGGGCCATGCCAGGCCGACTCTGGATCTCTTCAGGCTTTTGGTTTGACCTGAAGTACAGTGCTTTCAGCCTCAGCATTGGCTTTCGCTTTAGAATCGGTCTCGGGTTGAGCTTCAGGCCTCCGCTTTGGCGTTGGCCTTGCCGATCTTCCGCTGTCACTGGGCTGCATTCGGCTCAGCAGTTGTGCTACACTATGATACAGCACTTCATAATCGGCGTGGGTTTCTCTTGGCATTTTGGGTAGCTTTAGTCTGTTGTGTAGGCTATCTTGCCCACGGTCGCCGTGCAGAAGCAGTTGCACGGCCAACTCAGAGTGAAGCGTCTATTTTTGCCGCGTACTTGTAAGATCCAGCAGCCGTTGCGGCACTCTGCGATGAGCTGCACATGCTCTCGGTTACGGCGACCGAGAGCGTCCATGACATGGGCTATGGCAGCGATCGGGAACAGCAGGCGGTGAACCCCCACCCTCCTCGAAGCTCTCGCGGTGGTCGTGAAAGACTTCTCGAGTCCTCGTCCTCGTCCTCCTCCTCCTCCTCCTCCTCCTGCTCCTCCTGCTCCTCCTTCCCTCCCTCCCTCCCTCCCTATCCTCC